CTTTACTGCGAAGGATCGTGCTCATATACGTCTCATAACCGCAGTTCACACATATGTTTCATATGTTTGTTGTTGTTTGATTTATCATCTACGGGTTTATGTCGAATTAATTTGATGGCCTGCTCCCAGTTGGCTTGTTAGCTCAATTGGTAGAGCGCTGCACTAGTATCGCAGAGGTCAGTGGTTCGAATCCCGTACAGGCCTGAAATTTTTTTCAGGTCTGATTTTCACTATTGCTCAAATAGTGCTTTACTGCGAAGGATCGTTCACATATACGTCTCATAACCGCAGTTCATACATATGTTTCATATGTTTGTTGTTGTTTGATTTATCATCTACGGGTTTATGTCGAATTAATTTGATGGCCTGCTCCCAGTTGGCTTGTTAGCTCAATTGGTAGAGCGCTGCACTAGTATCGCAGAGGTCAGTGGTTCGAATCCCGTACAGGCCTGAAATTTTTTTCAGGTCTGATTTTCACTATTGCTCAAATAGTGCTTTACTGCGAAGGATCGTGCTCATATACGTCTCATAACCGCAGTTCACACATATGTTTCATATGTTTGTTGTTGTTTGATTTATCATCTACGGGTTTATGTCGAATTAATTTGATGGCCTGCTCCCAGTTGGCTTGTTAGCTCAATTGGTAGAGCGCTGCACTAGTATCGCAGAGGTCAGTGGTTCGAATCCCGTACAGGCCTGAAATTTTTTTCAGGTCTGATTTTCACTATTGCTCAAATAGTGCTTTACTGCGAAGGATCGTGCTCATATACGTCTCATAACCGCAGTTCACACATATGTTTCATATGTTTGTTGTTGTTTGATTTATCATCTACGGGTTTATGTCGAATTAATTTGATGGCCTGCTCCCAGTTGGCTTGTTAGCTCAATTGGTAGAGCGCTGCACTAGTATCGCAGAGGTCAGTGGTTCGAATCCCGTACAGGCCTGAAATTTTTTTCAGGTCTGATTTTCACTATTGCTCAAATAGTGCTTTACTGCGAAGGATCGTGCTCATATACGTCTCATAACCGCAGTTCACACATATGTTTCATATGTTTGTTGTTGTTTGATTTATCATCTACGGGTTTATGTCGAATTAATTTGATGGCCTGCTCCCAGTTGGCTTGTTAGCTCAATTGGTAGAGCGCTGCACTAGTATCGCAGAGGTCAGTGGTTCGAATCCCGTACAGGCCTGAAATTTTTTTCAGGTCTGATTTTCACTATTGCTCAAATAGTGCTTTACTGCGAAGGATCGTGCTCATATACGTCTGATTATTATACTAACCTAATAATTAAGAGCAGTAAATCAAGCTCTAAAGACTTCTGGAAAGCTTTAAAACAAACTTTACCTCCTTCTAAAACTTCCTCCAGGATTACTACCAGTTTGTTAGCTGATGGTGTCCTTCTCACCTCAGCTCAATCTATTGCCTTGACTTTTAATTCATATTTCGTGAACTTGGGTAAATCCCTTGCGGAAAAAATCGTTCCCGAACCGTACATAGCTAAAGCTACGGCCTGCCACTCGACTTTCACGTTTCAACCGATTAGTGAAGATTTTGTCTCAAGATCCATCAGTTCATTGAAAACTAATAAGGCCTTTGGCCTCGACAAAATTTGCGCGCGTCTTTTAAAAGATGCTTATCCCTTCAAACAAGAACATTTCCTTCGATATGGAAAACAGCAAAGGTTATACCCTTGTTTAAAAGGGGTGATTAACAGAATGCCTCTAATTACAGGCCAATTTCCATTCTCCCGACTGTAAGCAAGATTTTAGAGAAGGCGGTACATACTCAGTTTTATGCATATCTTACTGAGAATAATTTAATTTCACCCAACCAGTTTGGATTTAGATTGAAGTCATCTACTATTACTGCCGCCACTCAACTTTCTGATCAGTACTATTTTGGAACTTTTAGGTTTATTTGTCTGGACTTTGAAGATCCTATCGGACTAAGTTCCTTAAACGATGCTAGGTTCAAGAATAATTTAATAGGCGGATGGAACATTTAATATTTTTTTAGGGTTTAGGGGCACTCAATTTTAAAGTTTAGCTTTTATCTATGTAGTAGTGACAATTGAATAGGCTACGCCTTTGGCGCCCTATATCAATTTTATTTGTAACCTGAAGCATTCAGAAGTGTATATTAATTGCGGTAATAATCCAAGGAGGACCCTTGTGTTCACTGATTCATTTCTGAAATGTTTACATACTGTTCTCGATTCGATAATGAAACTTTAGGAAAATGTGTAATATACGAATCCAAGAAAATATGAACTGAATTTATATTCTCTTGATGAGTCTAATCGTGCAGTTTACTCTCCTTTCTTAGACACATTCGAAATCGAACAGTTTGACTCTCCAATCAGACAAAACTACGTATGAGCTCTACCTTATAATTAGTTACTTCCGCTTAGCGAACAGGAAACGCTGAAGATTAACGCGGATTATCCACTTTTTTTCTCCTAAAGTTCGGATGTTAAAAGCATAATCGTTTGGTTATTCATCTTATAGCAACAAGATTTCGCTTCATTAAGAATCAGGGATGGCTTGTTTACTTGGAGAGCCGGGGAAGAAAACCAACTGTGTTTGTAGCACGATAAACCCTGACGAGAGTCGTTTATGTTTTCCTTGTTTTGATTGTCCGCTGCTACATTTTGCAACTCCATCACCGAAATTGTCCAATAACGAACTCTGTAAGTCCGCTCCACGCAATGTTCTTCTTGCGCGGGATCAAAGCGGGCAATCCCGAGCAGGCGAGATGGGCTCATCTTGCCCGTTGAGGCAGCCAATCAAAATACAGAATTCATTTCATGTATTGTCCACGGTCACTTTCAGCGATATATGAGTATGTCTGTGAACTGGAGACTAACACATGAATATGAAAGTCAGGTGATATTCGGAGTAAAGCACGCTACTTCAGCAATAGTGAAAAGAAAGCCTGAAAAAGTTCAGGCCTGTACGGGAGTTGAATCTATGACCTCTGTGATATCGGTGCAGTACTTTACCAGTCACTCTACCAGCTGAGCTAACTAGACAACTGGAGAGCTCTTGTTGTTTCGTAAAAAAAAACATGAAGTGATGAATAAATGACTGTGAACTGAGTAAATAGAAGAAAATCATATGTGTGAACTGCGAATTAATAAATTATTATGAAGGACTTTTTAGCATGTAGTCATGAATGTATATAGAAACGTACCAAACATGAATAAATAGAGAGAGGCTCTTGAGTGCTTGGAAAACTTCCAAATAACATTTGTTGGATTTGCAAACATTAAGTTGATCTTTGCAGTCTTAGGTGAAGAGAGGTAATACGAGGTTGAAGCATTTTACTGGAAATCAGAGTAGGCCCAATGTGCAATTTTTTCCATAATTAGGACTGATGTTGCATCTCCCACAAGTCTCAATAAAATGTTATTTGAGTTTGAATTATAACAACATAAGTNATATGCATATAAACCAGCCCCATTTATTTAAATCCTGGCATAACTGTACATCTTTTCTATAAACTGTTCTGAGAACCCTTCCAGTTCTCTAGAATGAAAACATTTAGTCGCATAGCTTATTCTTAATTTTTTGAGCCTACAATGTGCACGTCTATTGGATGAGTCAGCTTAAGTTTTACTTAATCTACTATTTGATAGCAGCTTTTTTTGACCTTTGGTTAATCATTAAAATCTTTCCAGTAACCGGATGTAGTTTAATATTTGCTACATTTGTGGAGCTGTTCCTTTTTTTTTAGTTGCAATGCAAGTACAATCATATGTTTCAAGTTACTTAAATTATACATAAAAAAAACTAGGTACAAAGTAATGTAAAAAATAACGGGATCATTTTGTAAAACGTCTTTTAGGTCATGACAATCTATTCAGGCAAGCAAGTTGTGATCGGAGAGTTATAAGACTCCATTTAGGCTTTTTTGCACTAACCCCTTTCATGTAGCTTAACTTTTACATTGTATACCTTCAAACAGACCTGCGACTAGAATTAATTAAAAAATTATCAGCATACATGTATATGCATGGGATCCAGCAGAACGTTAATCATGAATAATCAAAACAAAAGAATAAAAGGGTTAAAACTGAATAAAATGCTCACTGTATGTAACTGATAATTACCATATAACATCACACATGACCAGCAGAGTTCATCTCTGATCTTTCCACCTCCACTGAAATGTTTTAAAGATTCCAAGCAAGTCATGATTGTGCTGGACTAGCCAATAATCTCAAATTTCACTAGCAGAGTATCATTCTTGGTGTACCGTGGTTGGCAAATCAGCTCAATAGGGGCAAATCTTGGGTAACCCAACCCATAGTAGTTGTGCGGTGCCACTGGTCTTTGACATGCTTGCCCTTCAGGCTCAGCCACCAGGGTTTTGCTGATATCACGATGCATCTCTTCGTCTTCAGATTGATCCAAGATGGACAATCTCAACTTTTTAGCAAATGGCCATTCCAAGAAATCATCATGATCACCTTGCATCAAATGAATGAACAATGCCATATGTTTGCCAACACCATCATCCACACCATTCATGTTAATTCGCATGCACAGGCTGTACCCTGAGGATACAGACTGGTGTAAAACGAAGGGCTGTACTTTCCTTTGCTTGATCCACTGATGGCATCTTGGAAACATTCTCTGAACTTTTCTATTCTCCAGGTATATGTCCCATCACAAAAACGTCCTCCTTGCTTCCTCAACCTGTATTTTTCATTGGGGTAATGAAGTTATTGCCAGTTATTAAAAACAATTTCAGAGTCAAGGTCACAATGTGAATTCAAAATAGCAGAAGGGATATGAAATTCAAGCTGAGATTAGTTACAACTTACATAATTATGTTCAATTTATTTTATGTCAGTCCTACTTGTACCAAAAGTAAATTAAAAATTAGTTTTCTTTCCATTGGTACCAGCAATCTTGGAAAATATTGGGGAGATTATTTGAGCATTCTAACTTCCAAAAAGAAATCATCATTACGTCAGGTCTTACAACATTTACTTGATTATTTGTAGTGGTGTCCCAAGTCTCACTAGTGCTTCCTTTGCCTCCTCCAGTTGATGTTTCAGATGGTGCATCTCATTACTGAGCAAAGTAACATGATTCTTCAGTTCCTCTATTTCTTTTTGTTGCTGTTGAATCAACATTCCTTCCTGGTCTGCTTGCTGTTGGGAGGAATTGACTCCACTCTCTTTCGTTTCCCTCATGTACTTAAAGCAGAGACCAATATGACTTGACAGCTGCTCTGTGACATGTTTATTCACTTCAGATCGAAGACCCTGAAAAACAAAAATGTATGTGACACACTTCAATGATGAATCTGGAATAAAAGCAGCAGTCACCAAGTTCACTCCTAGAACTTCCTTCTTTAAGAAAACTTTGTTTTCAATTGAATGCATTAACAACCAAAGAGGGAATAACTTCTTCAAGCATGTTATAATCATACCGTATTTCTTCAGTGTTTCAATAGAGCATAAAAAGCTAGAGAACAGTCTTTTGAGCTGATTATATATCACCACAGACCAATTAATATCGTATAATTATTAACCGTGATAAAAGATAAATATTCAAATTTCTATTTTGTGGTTTCTTAATACCTCAAAAGTGCATCCCACTATGTGAAGGGGACATTCAATTCTCACATTTAAGCACTGTTGTTCCAAGTGGAATACCATCTAATAAAGAGAGGGCAATCAATTCATTTTAGTAACTTAATCAGAACATCATCTGAGAAAGTCCCTCTTAATTACTAAGAACTAAAAACTATGCACTTAAGTCCATGTACACTTTCNTTCTGATATAAATATTGCTTCTTTCGTAAATGAAAAATAATTGTGTTCATTTTTCTCTGAGCAGGTTGATAATGAGTTGTTCCAATTACATCCAATTTTCTATAGCTAGCCTAATCCTTCAATATTGGATAAAATACATATCCTCTTGACTGTTCTTAATTTTAATATCTTACAATTTCCAATTCAAAGAAAACAATGGTGCTATTCTTGGAGTTCAAATTCCCAATCAGCAGAGGAAAGACAGCACAGTTTTCTAAATTGACATGTGGACATTTTTTGTAGACTTTTTTTTGTGGACCATAGACGGGAGTGAACTGAACTGGAGGTGATTTGTGATGTTCCTCCCCATCACCTTTCCCTTTGCCTTAATTAATAGCAAAGTCCAGATAAACTTCAATGTTGCCATGAGGAAGTGCGAAGAATAAAATAACGTTTGTATGGTGTAATAAATGAATTAACATCAAGTCATAGTTTTGCAACTTCTTAAAGACACATTATGGATTGAGAAGCCAAAATGTTCACAACTTGGGACCTCCATCAGATTTTTTGTACATACTACCAAGTTCACAAGACAGACAATAGTCACCCATACTAGAAAGTCCCCGAGCTTATTTGAGTTTGTGTTGGTAGGTATGTTAATCATTGCTTAATTATAATAAATTGTACTTTTCCTTTGGAGCTCTTCAATATACAACACTAACATCAATAATAGTGGCCAAGAGGGACACACTAAAACATTTTTTGAGCTCCTGTTTCAATCCAGACAGGAGGCTCACTCACACGGATCGATACAGAACTGCTTTACAATCTGCTTCACAATTTGCTTTACCGTTTTCAAAACAAAACATGAAACAATCTTTTATTAAAACTTGCTCAAGATGGCTACCAGTCACGTGAGATCATGTTATCGAGTTTATCATAATAAAGCTGTCCTTCTTCGCCAATAAGTTTCATTCACTCTTCTCTACTGAAACCAAAGGCACCAACTGCAACTACCCCAACAGCACACATGGGTGGGTTAAATCAATCACAAGATGAACACAGGGAATGACAACTTTCTCTTCACTGTTCATTAGTGAATTCTCAGAAATGGTACAAAGTAAAAATACAATGCACTGATTTCACTTTGATATTTACCGTTATGTTAATTGGTGTCAACATAATGTAAGGCAAAGAATGAGTAGAGCGGTGCCAAAAAAATTCACAACCCAAATAAGCATGTTCTTAAAAAGAGCAAAAAAGTTATTATTGAAAGTGCAAAAATGAATATGAAAAGTTGTTTCATATATTCCTCAAAGCTTCATGCATACTTAATCAGGAAAAGCAGTGTGAACTGTAGGTTCAATCATGAATTCTTTGAAATTTCTGATCA